AACAAATCCCAAAACTGGTGACAGAGGTGTTCCAGAAGTTGGCTCGGGTTCACGCCATGGATGTGCCCATTAAGAGGACCCATTGGTTTTTGGCAGAAATGGACAGATTTTATGGATTGGCACAAAATAATCTTAAGACTTATATCAATAACAATGAATACAATTTGGAGACATTTAAGAAATATGATCTCAAAACTGAATTAGAATTCATTCAAGAATTACTGGTAAAGTCCAAGAGTCCAATGGTTTTCACTCATAATGACTTCAGAAGCGCTAATATTATGGTATTGGAGGACAATAATAACAACAATGCCCTATCAGATGGACAGGTAGTTTTGTGTGACTTCGAGTATTCGAGTTATGGATTCCGTGGGCACGATTTTGGATCCATAATCAGCGAATGGGGCCGATCTTTGAGCGATTATAATAAGCCATATACTTTTCCCGACGACTCCGTACTTTTATCACTCATTGATATCTACATCAAAGAATCGGTCAGAATATTGGGTAAACAATATTCCGACGATAAAATCAATTCAAGAGAGCAGTTACTAAAAGAGATGAAAATATTCACACTATCCGGGTATTTGTTTGCGACTGTCTTTATGCTAAAAAACGATGAAAACGCAGCCGATTCCTTAGAATTGAACAACAAATTTATGATGGTTTGTATTGATTTGATTATTTCACTTATCAATATGAAACTAAAGTTTTAATTATTTTATTGCTATTAATGTTTGATTTATTTGCTGTAAATAGGAAATGGTTGAAGTGGTGTATAAAAGCTATTGTCATATCAAGGATCAATTGATGCAACAACACTTTTTTGATAATTTATAATCACTAATCAGCTATATTCAATTTTTCAACTCTTAAAATCTGTTAAGCTTGTTATTTTATTAAATTCTATTTATTAAAATTCTACTTTTTAAATTATTAAAATATTTTTCTCGTAATCATAATATAAAATCCATTTGCAAAGTAAAATATCCGGTAATTAGAATCATATTTGAAATTTGTTATTTAATCAATGAAACAATTTAAAATATTAATTTACACTAACTTGTAGTACATGTTAACCTTTAAACAAAATAAATTAATAGAAATTTTTAGATTTCAGGAATAATGCCGAAAGAATGGGAACTTTTATGGCTTACAACATATTGTATTACACAAAACTACCTGTCCATCTGATAGGTCATTGTTATTATTATTATTGTCCTCCAATACCATAATATTAGCGCTTCTGAAGTCATTATGAGTGAAGACCATTGGACTCTTGGACTTTACCACTAATTCTTGAATGAATTCTTTTTCAGTTTTGAGATCATATTTCTTAAATGTCTCCAAATTGTATTCATTGTTATTGATATGAGTGTTAAGTTTGTTTTGTACCAATCCATAAAATCTGTCCATTTCTGCCAAAAACCAATGGGTCCTCTTAATGGGCACATCCATGGCGTGAACCCGAGCCAACTTCTGGAACACCTCTGTCACCAGTTTTGGGTTTTGTTGCTCTTCTAGTTTAAACTGCCGGTGCTATCAAACCAAACATATCAAGTTTACTTATACAGTACTAAAACTATTAATTAATTATAACTAATTATATGTAGACATACCCTGTAATATGCCTGAATCTGTCCGACTTCAAACAGTCCGTACACTTTTGGTCCCAATTTGCTGTCGGACACCATTAGAGCGATCACAACATCAGTCAGTCTCTCATTTCCACCACAGTTTTGATTATTATAATATTTGGGTCCATACAGTCTTACAGCAACTTCTTGTGGCACATCCGTTGATTCTTTCAACGGACTGGTTATCCCGCAATAATACAACTGATTAGTCAGACCTCCCGACACTCTCGTCACTTGAATGGTATCCAGTGTTTGTTGCGTCCAATTGCCGGATAAGTATTGTTTGCATAGTTCAAGACACCTCTCTTTGATATCCGGTGGTGTCTCACCTTTGATCAGATCTATATCATCCAAATTAAGTCCTTCCAGAGTTGTCAAGTCTTTAAAAGTTTTCTTAGGTTTAGAATTATCATCAGTTTTGTTAGACATTTGTTCGGTTTTCGTTTCCATGATTTGCTTCTCTAAACACAGAATAATATCAAATAAATGAATGAATCAAACAAATTATGATATTTTCAATGCAATTGCTTTATATGGAAATGAAACTCCTATTTAATGAATACATAGATTAATTACAAAGAGGTAATGAAATAATCAGTTGAGTTGAAGGACAAATGCATATAATTCATATGAAATATAGAGATAAAATAATATATTTTTAATAATCGTCAATTCATGTAACAGTCAATCCTCATTATTATTAAATAATAAAATGATCTAAATTACCAGCAATTTAATAGATTTATAAACTGTGAAATTATGCAATGATTATTTTGCTCAACTTAAATGATTATTTCATGACATCCTTGCAATTAAATGACATTTTCGTTAAGAGTCAATACATTTATGTTTATAAAGCAAGTGTATTGAGAATATGATAATTAATTGATTAGTTGATACCACAATGTATTCTAAACATTTAGAAACAAATAATGTTTATAACAAATAATGGAAATAACATCATAAGCAATGGAAATATAAAAGATTTGACAACTTTGAAAACCTAGATGTTGAGGACATAGATAGGATTAGAGGTTAGACACCGACTGATATCAAAAGTTGGACACAACAAACACTGGATACTATTCAAGTGACGCGAGTGTTTGCACATGTTTTCATAATTAATAGTTACTAAATCTATTATACGGTATTATATTTTGCTGCTCACATGTCAGAAAATTAATTTATTGAATACCATATTTCAATAATTTGTCATAATAATTATTATTTTATAAATATATTTATTTATATCTATCCTAATATGCATGTAACATTTTTATATTACCGGTATTAAGTATTTTCAAATTATAAATTAAATTAATTAAAACTTTATAAAATAATTACCGGTATCAGGTTTACCACTTATTGTATAGGGAAATTTTAATCACAGATATAATTTTAAATATGATACATATATATTTTAATTTAAAATAAATAAACAGATTTTTAAACCGTATTTTCCCTAGGCATGATTTAAATGTTTAAAAAGTAAAATATTACATTTTCTAAAGGTATACAGACTTTATATCTTTAGAAAACTCGAATTAATGAGAATAATGTTCAGATTAATGAGTTTTTTACAATACATATTTGTAGATAAAATCTAACNAGGTAAATCCAATGTACAGAATAAAGTGAAAGTGTTTACATTCGTTAACATAACGTTATAAACGATTTCATAACTAATGCTGTATTCATTGAAATCTATTCGTATGGTTGATAAGAATCAGATAAACGTTGAACAGTACAGTACATGTGCTATACATACAATTTATATAACAAATTAAAAAGTGACTTGTATGTGTAGAATATATAAAGCTCTTGTAAATTTTTAAAAATGGTTAAGATACTTTATTTAAAAAGTTTTGAATTTACTTAAAATTGCAGGAATAATGTCTAAGGAATCTGATGAGTATCGGAATGGACTCATAAGAGGAGAGACACCCGAAGACATCAAAGAGCGGTGTTTGCAGTTATGCAGAGATTATTTGGCCCACAATTGGATACAACAAACCGTTGACTCAATACAAGTCCGAAGAATTACTGGAGGTTTGAGTAATCAGTTATACTATTGCGGAGTCAATGAGCCCTCACTTACATCCACTGCACCCCAAGAGGTGGCCATCAGATTGTATGGCAATAAATGGTTTAATAATTTGAATAGTGATGGGAATGAGAGACTGAAGGACAGGAGTAGTGAACGCCTGAGTGATGTCATCACATCTGTGATGCTATCGGAGACACAATTGGGACCAAAAATATACGGACTCTTCGAAGACGGACAGATCCTACACTACTATCAGGTATTCATGAGTTAATTGAATGTCTGTGTATTTGATAATCTAATGACTTTCCAATGAAAAGCACCGAAATTTCAATCTCGAGGATCAAAACGATCCAAAACTGGTTGAGGAACTGTTCCGAAAGATCGCTCGATTCCACGCCCTGGACGTCCCCCTCCCGAAGAAGCACTTTATTTTCAAAGACATTCAACTCTTTTATAAGGAAGCGTTAAATCGGTTCCCAATTCATGAATTGGCAGAAGAGCTAAACTGCGAACGAATCAAAAGCCATGATTTCGAGGCCGAGATTCAATGGCTAAAGGATATGACTTCAAGAACTAACAGTCCTCTTGTGTTTTCCCACAACGACATGACCAGCGCTAATGTATTGGTTTTAGACAAAGAGGCCAAATCTGGGAATCAGTTAGTTATCTGTGATTATGAATACGGGAGTTATGGCTACAGAGGACAGGACTTGGGGACCATAATCGGTGAATGGGGTCGAGTCCACACGGATTTGTTTTTCGATCAAACCTTTGTTGACGACTCTGTGATCAAACAATTACTTCACTATTATATCTCAGAAAATGAGACAATTTTCGGAAAAAGTTGGTCTGAAAATGAAGTCAATTCAATGGATCACCTCTTAATTGAAGTGAAAATGCTTGCATTGGTTTACAAATATTTTACATTTTTCTTTTGTCTTAAAACTGATGGAGAAATGGATGACTTTCCTATGGATAAACCGCAGCTTATGGTTAGTTTTATATATTTTATATTTTATACGAACATTAATACATGAATAGATAAATTCTGTAAATTAATTTTAAATTAGACTTTTTTAAATGATTTGTATAATGAATTAAAAGTAATAATATTTTGTTTTTACAGAATTTGGCGGAAAATCAATTGAAGAATTATATTCGTCTAAAGAATCAATTTAGTGATCAACAAGTTTTCTACAAATTACAGAATATGTGAAACATTTTAAATTGCAAAATCAATAATTTTAAGTAAATTGAATAGGAAATATGCCAAAAATTATCTTGTTAAATTTTAATTCATTTTTAAATAATGTAGGTAATTTGCCTAGCTTTTTATTCTTTGTAATTTTATTGACTAATTTGTAGTTTTAACTTATCCTTGAAATCAAATATATAAAATACTGTACAATTCACAATATAATATAAAATGTATATTGAATAACTATAGTCTATAGCCATTAACAAATAGTTTGTGTTTCTAAATAAATAAAACTACAGGAGTAATATATTGCCAAACAAATATTTTGCCAAAAATAGCATTGCATTCAATAAAACTACTAGAATTAAACATATTTAAACATTATTAAACATAATTAAACAAACTTACTATAAAACATATAAAATTAGCAAACAAAGAGGCATTTTATGCAATTTATGTTCAAAGAGGACAGTGTTCTGAGGGTACAAAAGGAGGACAATCCTCCCCACGGAGGACATTCTGGCCACCCTACTTGCGACAGCTCTGATTGTGAACCCATTGCCAGCACTAGTAGTTCGGTTGTTAAGAGTGTCCGCAATGAGAGCCCATTTGTGTGTTTTTGGCCCAATTGTGGCAAACGATTTGCTCGAAAATATAATCCCAAAGAACACAAGAGTGTCATCCATTTGAAGCTAAAGAGATTCCGATGTGATGTCGGGGGTTGTGGTCAAGGGTTTTATCAAAAGTCTGAACTCAATGGACACAAATATCATCCATTTGGGAGATAAGCTATTCAAATGTGTGTATAGTGGTTGTCACAAATGTTTCGCACAGCAAAAAAGTCTCAATGAACAAACTTTTTGTTCATTCAAATAATAAGGCATTTCATTGCCATCACAAGGGATGTGATAAGAGTTTTGTGAGGAATAAGAATTTAATTGTTCAGAAACGGGTCCAATCGGGAGAGAAGCCGTTCGCATGCGATGTCATGGATTGCGACAAACGATTTGTTCAGAAAACCAATTTAAGACAAAAATGTTTTTCATTTGAATCTCAAACCATTTGTTTGTAATGAACACAATTGCGGCCAAAAATTTGCTGACAAATCAACACTTCATAAACTCATTCATACGGAAGAAAAGTACGTTTGCGATGACAAGGATTGCGGCAAATGTTTCATTGATCCGTCAAATTATAGACGACATGAACGCAAACTTTAATCATTTTTAATAACAAGTTTTACGTTATATTTTATATATAAAGTTATGTTTAGTTTATAAAACACAAAATTTAAATTATATAATAATGTCATAAAACTATCTAATGGTCTGAATTTTACTTAAGAAGCCCCGATATCTCATCCGGAGTTAAGTCCGACCCGTGAACCACTTCCAGCATTTCTCGAGGATCACCAAAGTATACCATAAAAAGGGCCACTTTTGACATCTTATCTGTTATGATGAACACAAACGGGTGGTTAGCTCTAAACGCCACGGTCTTCGAGTCCTTCATTATCTTCATCTTTGACTGTCGGCTGACTTTATTGTCTGAGAAAACGGCTCCCCTTTCGTCCACCAGAATAAAGGCCTTGGGGACCAGTTTCGTGAGGTGTGGCCTCGACTCGCAAATGGCGGTCAAGTCGGCCAACTCGTCGTCGAAGATATCGATGGCTTCCATTTGTTTGATAGTCCTCTGAAGGGAGACCTTCTGGGCGTCCAAAGCAAACCTCGGCAGCGATACCGCTACTAATGTCTTGGGCTGTGTCTGCAGTGTATCCATAATCGACTGGAAGATGTCTTTATTGAGGTATTCGATGAGATGAATGGCATCCGATTTGACATCTTTTGGGAGTATGACAATCATCCGGAGGTCGCTCGTGACATACGGTATGGACACGATATGGGCGGACAGCTGTTGGCTATACATATACCTGTAGTGAGCCAACTGCTCCATCATCTGGATCTCTGTGGTGATCGACCGACCATTTTTGACAAAACTGAACGTCTGTTTATCCAACTCATCGAAACTGGAGGACCAGAAACCCCGGAAAAATAGGCTGTCCGTCACAATGAGCTTAACGTTGCGGTTCTCGCCGCTGATGTCTTTGGCGGCGATCACTTCGTCGATTACGTCATCCGTATTGTCTTTGGAGTCACCATTGATTGTGTCCACCGTTTTCCGGACCTCCCGGAAGGTCACTGTCTTCGGCTTAACATCGAAGTAGTCCTTCAGTAACCGCTTGTAGTCGTCGTTGAGTTGAATACTGGTGTCGGCGTACAAGAAGTTACTGAACATTAGGACGAACCTGTCTTTGAGGCCTTGACTGCCGAACTGGTCTTAGCGGACGAATCAGAAGCCGATTTCGAGACCTGTTTTGGATCTTTGCTTTTGTCTGTCTTTCTTGTCTTCACTCTTATCGGTAGTCATCGTCTGCTTTACTCTTGAGTTGAATCTCAGGTCAGACTATGATATGAGTTGTGAACCGATTATCCGTTAAAACTTTCATTTGTTTTAGTTTTCAAAACCTTATGTATTGTTAAGAATGAGATTAATTACTAATTAACTAATTAATTAATAATTAGACAACTATTGCTATAATTTATATCATATACCGATATAATGCATGCATTTGTATGTATTGTTCACTTGTAATCACTGTATTGAATCGTTTTTAAGGTATATTTTCTGTTCAATGAATTCTCTGAACCACACTTTAAACAACTTCAGAGAAATTCATACAATTTTTGGTAATAGTTTTCCTCTCATTTGTTTCTATGGAGCGCATGTCCTAACAATTCACAATTTTTCAAATCAAATTAAATTAAATCTATAATTAAATTGTCTTCAAAAATCTCGAGCATTCATAGTAGCATTTCTTACATTCAAATATTTCCTAATATTAATGCATACATTCTCTGAGAATACGTTTTCAATTAAAGAATTCATTGATTCACTCGTTTGCCAATTAGCCGTATAGTAAAACATGAAGTTCATTATTTTGGCACCACTTCTATTCAATTGTATGCAATTAATTCATTCATCAAATGTGAGTTATTTTTATTCAAAATAATTATGTCTTAAACTTGGTTTACAAATATTATAATAGATTTCGAGTCCAATATGTGATGAAAGCAATACTCAGTTGAAGATTGATTCAGTTGTGTCGGTAGACAACGAAACGGTCTATTATTTCACTGACGATATCATAACAGTAGTGAATGTCAACACCAACTCTATT